AAATTGTGTCACGCCATGAAATAAAGTTCTTCTAATAAGGAAATCAATCTTGGAGAGTACATAACAGGTACGATTTCAGGTAATGCAGTACCAACGAAAAGAAAGGAGCCTGATATTACCTTCCGCGTGTTCCCCTGTCCTTCTGATTATTGTGTGCAAAAATCTAACAATACAGAGGTTGGGTTTGGTTGATTAGCACCGCCAGTTTGTAACTCAAATAGTCTCGAGCCTCAATTTGAGTGATATGGAGTAGTGTGTTTAGAAAGTTGAAAAAAGTGCCATGAGTACTACAGTGAAAACGCCCTCTGTTAGGCGTAACTTTGGGTAAGCAAACCAATCGAACTAATGGCAACTACTCCGAAAAAGAGCAAACTAAAAAGCCAATTATAGAAACTGTGTACTCTAATAAAAGCACAAGTTTGTCTCAGATATGAAAAAGAGTGGATGACCCTTGTTTGCTCACATACGTCCAACTGCTGTAAACAGAGATTTATGCAGACACTGCCCTGCTTGGTAGTAAAACAACAGCTGTGTGGATGGTAGCCTAAATCGAGGTTCGGATCAACTGAAAAGTCATCCTAATTACCAACAAACGTAAACCGTAGTAAACGAATATATGCTGAGCCTCACTGCTCTCTTGACATAATTCTTCCAGTTGCTCGCTTCAACCTTCTACCTCACTCAAGTAGTTCATATCTCCTGAGTTAGCGTCATTATTCCGTTTACCGAAGTTGTCGTATTTGTCGTGTGCACACCACCCACAAATCTGTCATCTAGTTACAACTTAAGGCAGCTTGCATACAACCTCATTTACTGCGAGGATTTCGGACGCCCATTTCGCCTCATCTGCTTAGGACTTTGCAATCGGAAGCCACTTTACAAGTAAGGGCAAACCACAGCTTTCTCGGTGCGAAACGTCCCTTACGTAGCGCAGTTTAGGGTGTATCCAATACCGGAAAAGATCGATGCGTTGACGATAGCGCAGCCGCGCTCTAGGGTTGGAGCGAACAGCAGTGGCGATGCTGTAGAGACGTGGCACGGACAGCCAAACGCACCAGTACACCCAACCGCAACCGTGCGAAAGCCTGCATACGTTACCATGGCTACAACACAGACATGCCAAAATAGCCAATCAGATCCGAGTGTATGTCGATCGGTCCAAACGCATTGCGCTGCTAATCGATAAGTCTAAACGAAGCTACCAGAGCAAGCCTGATTTCGCGTTTTTTCGACAAGGTCGTTTCTCACACTGTGGCACGGTACCAAAGCGTATTTGGTGAAGAGGGCGAATGATGAACAAATTCGTTTCGACGCTTCTTCAACCGGCTGCGTAGATCGCGTAGGAATGACGAATGAATGGAATAGTACAGCAGCCTACGTCAGGATAATTTGTTAGAAAGGTTGTACATTAGTCGGATGGCAAGTGAGCTTGTTGAGTCACATCTAAGGCCCGTGTCCCATTTCGGATTGTCCCAGACAAATCAGAGGCTTTCCGAACAGTTTGTGTGTGTATAGTCCAGCTCTAGACAGCTGGAGATGAGCGCCGAATTTAGCTGTTGGGACGCTTTGTGAACCAAAGATAGGGAAACATACCAAGGCCTCCTTAAGGATATCGACCGTAAGTTGTACGATAATAAAATAATAACAATCGTTCAGCTGTAACACCTTTTCGGTGCTCAGCTGCCCTGCAACCCGAAGGAAGCACGGGAGTGGGATACTGCCAGGCTGCCCAAACCTAGATAGGAGAAATTGAGATGCAGAGGTCGGGTTCGAACCACAGATCCTCCAGTCAATAAGTTCACACCCCAAGCGAAATTAGATAACCACGGATCTGCGTGACTCTAGGACCGCTGTTTGTGCTGTTTCTGAGCGTGCACACGGAAGCCACTGCACATCGAAAGGCTCGCTATCACTCCTTGATGCCAGTGCTCTATCCATTTTAGTTTGGAGTACAGTTCGACGATCCATTCGGTAGTTCAAACGTAGCTCAGTTAGGAACCGGGTGCCGTTCTAGCTAATATGAAAAACAGGACCAAGAGTACTTCCGTAAATGAACCAGTCAAAGATAATATTGGAAAGCTAACCTATAACAAAGAACACAGTCTAGATTGCTGGACGGAATATTCTCAACATATTTTGTTGGCTCTCTCCCTCATTTTGAGTAGCAGTCTGTAACCTTAGATACTCCCTCAGTTGGTGAAGTACCAATATATCTTTGTGTCTTGAAGCGCCATTAGGCCACTGGATTAGATTAGCATCCTCAGCGTTGTTTAAGGAGGGTGATCTTCATGTTCTGCCTCGACCAGTTTGCTCGTCTTTTTAAAAAAGCAAGAACGTGTTCCAGAGAATCGGAGACAACGGTTTGTTGTAGGCGTGAAGGTATCCGAACGGAGTGTTCCTCCCATAGGGATATAAGTCTAACGGCTTCCGTAACACGTCCACTAGCTTCCATGATATTGCGAAACCAATTTTCGGCATGTGAAACACAAATCCGAAAGCGTCAAGTAAGATTCCGACCTGACAGTTTGCTTTGACCAACGCCATATATACTTCCAATCAACAACCGCCGTTTTCGTCTATGTTAAAGGACCCTTTGAATCTGCGGACGGATTGGCTGTTCTAAATACTCTTGCTCGGAGTGAGATAGCTTGACGTTTGCGAACATTCTTTGTGCCATTTATTTCAACACAAGGATTTGGATTTAGGGTGTACAATAAAATGTCTGAAAACTTCACAGCTAGTTCAGTGCGCCAAGAGTGTCCTCTCCCTCCATTTTTGTTCAATTTTGTCATAGGCGTTATCATGCTGTCCACATACTTCAAAAAGCCCATGAATCCAGTTATCGAAATCAAGTCTGTTGTTTGTCGATCATCCGTCCGCGCAAAGTACTTTAACGAGAATATCGATGATCTCACGTTTCGGCAGGCATTCTGTACCTTCGAGATTTTCTATCCTCTTGTGTTCCTCTGAAAATTCAGAAGGAACAACTCATGTTTGTGAACCGTTTCACGCGTCTTGGCAACTGCATAAGCTGTGATTGTGCTACAACAGACGAAGTCAGTGTGCTGATAACGAAGATATTGGCAGCGTTCGTCAATTTGCAGGAACACTGTCAGCCGTGAATTCCACTGAAGCTACAGGGTCGGGCATAAAATACACCACTAAAAGCAGTTTTAATTTATCACTGGGACTTGGCCTCTCAAATATTATGCGCCTCTAAACTCTTGATCATTAGTGTCTCCGTAGCGTAACAGGTTATTTGGCTGCAGCTAGTATGTAACGAGGTGAAGTACAAGTGGGTGCTCTGTAAAGAATCCGAATCGTCAAAGAAACAGAATAGACTTACCAGTTTTTGGCTGCGGCGCGTATTACGCGTGCGGAACCAACGTCTGCCAAAGAAAGTGTTGTTTTATCTCCAAAGCTACTGTTGGTGTAAGGTTCTCGGAGGGACAGATGACTGTGATATAGAGAGGCTTACAATCAAACTGAGTGCGCTTTACTGACTGAGGCCCATGTGATCCCGCTGGAAACCCTGCATGACAAGGCACACAACCCATCCTGCTAACGTGCCCGTTGTCATTCCCTACCTGCAGTGCCTAGTTCGCCTGACGTTAACCATTTAACTTACGTCGCGTGAAGTTCGCGACGGGTACTGGGTCAATCCCACTTATAGCAACTTCGATATGATGCCCAGATGTATTTATTTTAATGCTATCCAAGAGTATGGGCATCCTCCTCATGACCGCCTTCCCTACGGACATGAAACTTCTTCGAACTAAGTCCCTACCCTTCTGTTTTCTTCCTTTACTAAAGCCTTCTTCCCTCATGGTTGTATGACAGTCAAGCACCGGCATGTATTACGAATGTATTGATGTCAGTGATGATTAAAACAGAACCAGTTAGGATCAGAAGAGTAGACGCTAAACTGAACCCAGAATAAGTGAAAACCTATCGAAGTTGTACGAGAAAATGAGAGTGGAAGTAGCGAGTAGTGTAAACAGCAACGAAGTGAGCAGTGTATCTCATCTAGAAATGGAGTTCTGCACGAGAACAGATTTTAACCTCCTGAAGTGACCGAAGAGAAGAGGCGGACAACAATGCCGGATGAACTGGTGGGCAGAAGAGAAGATGCGAGTTCAGACGGACACTTGCCGTGAACAAAAAAGGAAGGCTATGCTTCGACGGTGGAAATCGGATTGAAGGTCATCGGCCAGGGTGCGGGAGAAATTGAGAACTCGATCAAGAATTGAAAGGCTGATGGAACGAAACCATCCTGTCCATACATAACCACAGCATTCGATAACGATCGAACTAGAGCTTAGGAGGAACGGGGTGCTTCTGGGAATGGAACAGAGTTCAGTTTTCCTGGAGGCTACAACCACAAATGGTTGGACGAGACTAGCAATAAAGAGTTAGATGTGTGAGGCTCACGAGGGCTGAATTTAACTGCATTTGGCCAAGCCTAACCCAATATGCTGATTATGCTGCTTCCGGTTGCCGGATGGAAAGGATTTAGAGGCCCCAATTTCTTGGAGTAATCGAGATAAGCTAGCACCAAGTCCATATTCATTTTTGCAGTGAACCCTTAGGCGGAGTAAAAATTAATTGTAAGAGCCAAACCAAATAATGACCACGAACTGATCGTTGCGCTCTAATCTAGTTCCTGGAAGGCTTTGTCTGAAATATAGTGTTGACAGCCACCTCGATAACAGTCCGTCAGTCCGAAAAAAGCCTAACTTCGTTCGTCTTAAGGAGAGTATTTTTTGGGTCTCATAAAACAACTCGCGGTGGCGTTGGTTCGTGAGAAATTCGCCCTACCGAAAATGTTCCAACTGGAATTTTTTCGTCGGTGTACTTAAGATTCCTCTATACCAATATATCAAGGTTTCAACGAGTGAACCCTCAGTCTATGGACTTAAAGGTGAACACAACAAATACATCTACCTAGTTAGCCAGCACTAAATCACCCATTGACTTGTTCGGGTCAAAAGTGCAAAAAAGGCGAACAAGCCTGTCTTCAAATACGGAAACCACTGCTCAAGTTGAAAATATCTGTACAAAAAATAGACTTCCTCAGGATGGGAGAGGGATGTAAAATTGTACATAGAAAAGACTGACGGGCAGTCCCTGGGACAAATGCTGTCACCGTCTGACAGACGTGAGACGCGGATCACGTGAAGAACTCGATGATAGTGATGGGTCCGGAGGTGGAGGAAAGAAAGAGTGGGGTGGGTCAACCGGGAAACTGGGTGGTGGCGGTGGTGGTAACAGGACAGGAACTTGGGAGAAGTCCACTGGTGGTGGGTTGTTAAGAAAGACAGGAACATGACCTTCAGGTCGCTGAAGTGGCGCCGTGGTTGTGTTGTGTGTAGAGGACTGGTGGACTGGGGAACTGAACGTGCGTGCCTGTGTACGACGAGAACCTTGAGGAAAGGGCCGATTGCGAGGGATGAAAGACCGGTCTCGATACCTGTTATAGTGGTGTGAAATTCCGTAAGAAGGCGGAGGTCGATTGAATGCATTATCAAAACGTGCATTGTCCCTGGAAGAGAGACGGGAAAATTCAATTTTTGTTGGTTTACATGCAGATACAAAGTGGAAACGGGACCACGCAAGGTACAGAAATGCTGTTCAGTTGTGCTACTCGTGAACTATCTACTGTTCCTCAGTTTCTTAACCTTCGCAACAGTTCCGTTCTATTCTGAGGCGGTTGCGCCATATCAGCATCGGGCACAAAGCAACCAGTTAATTAAATACATTTAGTGGGCATCGTTTTCAATGCTACTTCAGCACCATGCAGTAGGCCTGCAAGAGGCAAAGCCCTCCCGGCCGAATGCTGCCTGAAAAAGTTAACAGAAATCTATAGAACGTGAGTATTTGGATAGCAACTGAAAGGTAATTTTAAGAGGACGACCCAACGCTGCGATAGAAGTCCGACAGTTGGTCCCAAGAAGTGGTGCCCAGAGAATACTTACCTATACCACCTAAAAGAAGAATTAGAGAAGCGGAACAAAAGTGAAAGCCGCAAGGAGGAGTAGGATGGCCCGAAGTATCCGTCAACAGAATCAACTTGTTAGTCAGCGCACTATATCTATACGCACATACCCACAAGCACCGACTAGAACTGTCATGTACAATCTGCACAAGTGTCACAATGAACCCGACCATAAAGTAGACCTATCGAGGGCATAGATTAACTCACCGATCCCTGTTGTACTTATCTGTGTGTCGAAAAGAGCCATCGGCATCCGAATCACCGTGGTGACGATGATGATGATGGTCATGATAAGTATGATGACCATCGCGTTCCCGAGACCGAGAATGACTATGCCTATGGTGTTTCCTTACAGAGTTCGCTGAATCGATAGCAGGACCACCACCATGGTCAAGATTGCTGTTCTTATGTGCATTGGCGTCATTCCCCTCGAGATTTTTCTGTCTTCGTTTCGCTGCATGCTTGTAAATGTGGCGCAGTTCGTCTGTAGATTTCTTGGAAAATATCTGAACGAATTCCCAAAAGTAGCTGAAACATTTGGAATAAAAGAACGTATAAATTCGGTGCACTATTTGAAGTCCTCTGGAACTGAGCTAACTACGTTTAGGATTAAAACGGGCAGAAAATTTACCGGAATCTATGAACAGTCATCGTGGTATGGCTATATCGCGGTATGAAACACCACCGACCCTCTGAAAATGTACATGAAGAATAGGAAGCACCGACTGATCCACACAGGGGCGTTCAGGTAGGCCTCACAACAAAACCATTGCATGTACCAAGACTAGAAGCAGTAAATCACCATGATGGGATGACTTCTGCAATCCTGCTCGCCGAAACAAACTTTCCGGGGAAAGAGCGAAGACATGCGGGTAGTTGAACTGGTTGATTTACTTCCAAGTGGCCGTTCCTTTTGATACACACAAACACTCATTGACTGGTAACCACTAAACAATATTGATAGCACTGAATCTATACCACCAGGTGATACTGAAGGCTTTTTTGGACACGTGACTAAACGTGACCGATAGCTTCGCACGGTAGCATTCTGGGGCACGGTTGTAATATACGTTGAAAGTATTGAAGATAGAAAACAACGTTTAGTGACTAAATATTCAGTAAACAATAAAATCACAACTACTTCGGAAGACTCGTCTTTTTGGGATTCTAATAATTACTACGAATGTTACACGCAAGTGTGTAGAATATCCGAAGAGAAACCTCCGGTCGAAGTGGAAAACTTGATCACATGCTGATGAAAACACTCGTAAGGAAGGAAACTTGCATTAATACTGTTCGAGAGGGTTTATATTAGTCGTCCTCTAAACACCTGCTGTTCCATCAAACAGATAATCTGACGTCCCGTGAGGAGAATGGGAGGTACTATGCTTTAGTTGAAGCATGTCTGCTTGAGGTCGGTATCCATGCCACACGATAGGTACGTAAGACACCTGCAGTGTGTTGTGATGGCTTTTGTCTGTCTTACACTGCTATGTTACACATGGGTGCTGTTCGCATTCCACAGTTGATAAGTAATATACCAAAAGGCTGTTGCGGCCAGTTGGTGACGGACCAGAAGCACCACTTCAGAAAGTAATGCCTAGACTGGCCCAGCGCGTTGCACACCGGTGAAGGCTGTAGAAGGGTTTTACTGGAATTTTACGTCAAACTCAGATCGTTCTAGGGTGAAGCATACTCACAAGTTGCGGGCACACCAGCAGAGAGTCGAGGGTTTAATCATAAGCATTCGCGAAATAGGCACAGTAACGGAGTGTTCCACCATAGTGGTGCCACTAAATTGCCCCACTTCCACGCAATGTTTCAAGAGCCAGGTCCCACACTATGGTTGATTGATTCAAAACCATACAGTAGTTCCGTCATTCCACTAGTCTTCGTGACGGTCACCAGATGGATGAACGATTTTCAAGCTACAAAGTTCTAGGAATGAGTTTTCTAAATGGGAGTAAGGATATGAATAGTGAAATAGCTGCCAATATACACACACGGTTCGACGCGGATGGTGAGTGGGGCAGAGACATAAAACCAGTTTCACAGCTTACCCTTTCCATAAGTGTTTATTTTTCTTATCAGTGATCTCATGCACGAGATTGTGTATATAGTCACCTATCCGAAGAACAACTTTGGAAAACTGTTTTGCATCTTCTTCGGGTGAATCTTCTAGGTGCTCCAGATGTTTGAAATGTTTCTTGATAGGCAAAAGTTTTTCTTTGCACTGACGTGGGGTAAAATGGAAACATGAATTCGGTTAGTTGGCTGTGGTGAGGAAACAAGAGAGAGGTTATTGTCCCAAAGTTATCACTTTCTCACTCCAGAAGTGAATTACCGTCCATTATTACAACTTACGGGCCTCTGTAAATCAAAGTATGGCAACCCTTGCCATTCACCAGTATGCTTTCGTTGTCTACTCTCATCCGCGTCACCGTCAAGCATATAATGTGCCTCGATCAGGATGATAGTTAAAAACACAGTAATAGATATTGGCCTTTTTCTGCCTTCAACCTGGTCTTGTCCGAACAAACCGGTAGTACTTGCAAACAGACGGTGTTTCTACTTTCAATAGGATAAAAATCCTGGTTTGAAGACTCACGCGAAGGGGAGTGAATTGTCTTAAGAATGCATTGGAGAACAATTTTAGCTAGACAAAGTAGGCGTACCTTCTGAAGGTCTATGATTCAATCTATTGTGATGCTTCCACGAATACTGCCCCGAAACTGCCGTCCCAAAATTACCTGCACACAGGAAAATGGGAGTGGCCCCCAGAGTGCTTCTCAGCGCAACACCGAAGTATGGCAAGATGACGTGGTTTGGTGAATTGGACTGGAAACCTGCTTACAAGCCACTCGACCCGCCCATGTCTTAACGATGCCCGTAGTTGGATCCACAAGACCAAAGCAAGTGTTCCTCAAATGTAGATTCTTACCCCTACAATGTTCCCTACAGTTAATCAACGATCTCCTCTCTTCGTTTAATGGATGTATCAACGCTTTTGCAGACGACATAACCAACCAAATTTTTAAGAAGCATTCTCTAAGCATTGCGTCACCTCGGAATAGTGATGGCCATATACATGCCAACAACACACTGGACATCGATTTCACAAACACTTACGCTCGTCATCATCATCATCATCGACAGCATGACATCAGTGTTCAACACTGATGCTTCACTGCCGTAAGCAGCCGAAAGCAGCCGCATTCAAATCTACCGAATCTATCCATGTTTCTTTTCCTTCAACAAACTTTCTAATCTTTATTGACTCTAATCTGGTTCCTAAATCGTCCTATCGGTCGGTTTCTGGTGTTTCTTCGACGAACAGTCTCAATTGGAATCTGCAGGTGGAACTGATCCTATAGAAAACTAGGTTCATTCTTTCGTCCTCGAAAATATCTCTCGCCTTCCAAACTTCTAGTCTTATACAAGTACCAGATTCACTTCACTGTGGAACATGACGGCACTCCCTTTAAGTATCACTCATCCTAGATAGTATTTGACGGAAATTTGCACATCTCCCTGATTCTGCTTCGTTGACCGATGATCTGTAAGCCTCCTCTGAAGGACACCCCCTCCGCTAGTTCATCACTATTACTGCGGTAAATGCTCTGTTGAACCCGCCTCTTTCTATCTCGATCGAACACCCATCGAGTCGGCCGGCGCGCCTATGCCCCTCGAGCCACCAATATCAAGTTTCAGATCCCTGTTGGTGGAGTCCTTTTATCAGAACTGCTGGCCTCCGGAGTGGTTTCCCACTCTTTTCCGAATTCTCCTCCTATTTTCACGACCAGGGTTAACGTTCATGTGTCTAAATCCCCGTGATCCCCCAAAGTTGTGCTTTATTCAGGCACTATCCGTTCCTACGTACTTTTCTATATTTCACTGGGTGAAACGTGCTTTTGACCAATTCGACGTTCAACACTCTCTGACCTGTAAACTACTTTAGTGTGGTAACAGCAGATATTTCATCGGAAGGAATGGTTTGCAAAAAGAAAACCCACCTTCAGAAAAAGTGGACCTCGCATTTTCCGGAATTCCTCCTCATCCTCTTGATTAATAGACAAAGTGAAGGACAGGGTGCTCGCAAGTGATTCACTGGATTTTGGCTCTGATTCAGACCCGACCACAGAATCATGATGTTTGTGTAACTTTTGTTTCGAATCTGTCTTATTCTTTGACTCCAGCTTCGATCGCTTGGTAGCTACAGGAACATTGGACGGTTTTGTGTCCTCTGTCTCTTCAGAGTCGGAAGAGGAATCATCAGTATCAACAAACTCTGCTGACTTAGGCTTCGATGAGTTTAAGGAAGCTGCTGAAGGCGTGATCTTCAAGTTCGATTTGCTCCTTCTATGAGATTCCGTCTTGTATTTTGAGTGAGAATCCGTAGGCTTACCGTCGGTTTCAGTACGTTTTCGCTTCTTACCAGACGCAACATCGGGAGAATTCACACCCGTTAGGGGTTGTCTGTGCTTCGCAAGCATTCGCAGTAGATAGTCAACACGTGATCGTATATGGCTGGCTTGCGGTCGCTCTGAAGCCGACATTGGAAGTAGTTTAGACCCGAGTCCAAGATCCGCATCTAATTTGATGGCTTCCCAGTTATCATATCCATGTTCGTAGACACCGGCCAAAAGACGAACATCGTCCGACGCATCCCACGGACACGACCAGGTAACCAGTTTTGGGACAAACGGCAATTCAAAATTCATTCGCGCTTCTTTCCCGCCCTCCGGAAGACATTGATGTAAAGTTTCTAGATACTCCAAACTCTGAAGTAATGGTTTTGCGGCAATGGAAACACGACCGTATTGAAAGACGGGACCTTTGTTAGTGGGTTTCTGCGCTTCCTCGTTAACAGCTTGGTTGGCTATTTCCATCGCTGACTGGCATCCTTTGAGAACAGCATCAACCACTTCCAGAAGTTCCTTTTCTGTTCGATCCGGCAGCTCCGCATCTGCGGCTATTGCATCTATCCGCTCTAGAGGACGTGCAAACCGTTTTATTGCGCGCACAAGTGCACGAATTTCTTTCTCAGATAATTGGGTGGGGGCAGCTTTACCATCTTGCTCCTCAGAGGAATCATCTGAGGAATAATCCATTCCAGCTTGAAAAGCCTTAACCTGCTTTCTTCTACGGGGACCAAGTTCGAGTTCGACTAGCGTCTTCTGTATCTCTTCTGCCTTTAACTGTCCGCGAAACTCACTCGGTATGATCTCATCCCACGACTTTTCGGGACCCACAGCTAGTGGATGATTGCTATCCATATCATCATCAACAGTGTCAAGAGTAACTACTTTAAACGAAGATAAAAGTGCGTTGGCTGGATGGGCCTCTGCCGTTGCATCAGTATCTCGCGTTTCTGCTCGGTTCAGAATGTCGTCAATATCGACCTCGAGTTCTGCGACATCTTCATCATTCCGATTGAACAGGCCTTCAGCTCCGTAACGTAGAATCTCCGTTAACAACTGGCCTTTGGAGGTCTCACCCTTCCTACTAACAGCACTCCGACTGCCACCTGCTGAGTCCATTCGCTGTATTACGAGGTGGTCAAGGACCATTTTCCTGGTAGCGCTCTCGATGATTTTTTCTTCAACAGACTCTTGAGTGACCAATCGATAGACAGAAACTTGCTTGGTCTGGCCGATTCGATGTGCGCGTGCCTGAGCTTGCAAGTCGTTCTGAGGATTCCAGTCCGAGTCGAAAATTATGACCGTATCAGCAGTCGCGAGATTAATGCCTAAACCACCGGCACGAGTTGAAAGAAGAAAGCAGAAATCGGTGGAACCATCTGCATTGAAATGGTCCAAAGCCTGTTTGCGCAGTGCACCGCGGATAGATCCATCAAGTCGTTGAAACCCCCAACCCCGAAGTGTCAGGTAGTCAGAAATTAGGTCCAGCATACGGACCATCTGACTGAAGATAAGGACTCTGTGTCCCTTGGATTTAAGGCGCTGCAACAATTTGTCTAACAACGTCATTTTGCCACTTCCGCGTATGAGGGACCATAAATACTCATCATTAGTCCATAGTCGCTTGTCGTTCTCTTGAGGAGGCGCTATGAGGTGAGCGTGGTTACAGCATTTCTTGAGCTCCATAACAATATTAATGAATGAGGCCTTGTGGCCACGAGTGACTTTCATGAGTCCATCATAATTACGGGCAAGGATAAGGCGGTATATATTCGCTTGTTCTTTTGTCATATCGACCCTTAGGATCCGCTCTATCTTCTCTGGTAGGGAACTTTCGACATCCTTCTTCACACGTCGAAGTAAGAAAGGACGCAAAACCTTGTGAAGGTGATGAAAGGCCTCTCCATCGACTCGAGCAGCTGGATCATCTTCAGCAACACTGTACGACCCTTCGAATTCCTCCCAAACAGGAAACCTCTCAGGCATGATAAAGTGCAGTAATGCCCAAAGCTCCTTCATTGTATTTTGCAGCGGAGTGCCTGTAATGAGCAGTCGGGTGTTAGTGTCAAATGTCTTCAACGTTTTATACAACTGACTGGCATCATTCTTCAGACGATGTGCTTCATCAACACCAAGAAAAGCCCATGAAACTTGGCCCAACCAGGACTTGTCTTTGAGAAGAATCTCATACGTGGTTATGCATACATTGAATTTCAGAACCTGCTGACGTCTGGAACCACCAGAGCTACCAGCAGACCACTCATGCTCACGGATCAACTGACGAGATACGTGATCACCGGTGTATATAAGCGCGTTCATTCTGGGAGCCCACAACTGCAGCTCTTTCTGCCAACTGGAGACCGTACTTAGCGGAACCACTATCAAAAACGGGCCGTACAATTTGTACTCATGAAATAGACAGGATAAAAATCCGATTGTTTGAATGGTTTTTCCTAACCCCATTTCATCCGCCAGAATGACACTATTATTACGGCACCAAGCACGTAACATCCAGTTGATTCCTTCTAACTGATAGTCCCGGAGTTTTAAATCTGCTGAGTCGCCTAGGTAGTCCGGTTGCTCAGTGAGAGGTGCAAACTTTGGACGTGTGTGTAACACTTCACATTTGTTGTTTGGAAGTTCTGTGGAACGACAACGCGCTTCATAATTTTCAACCGCAGGAGGGTACAAAGCACGGACGACTTTACCAGACTCCCAAGAACAAAAGCGATAATCCAACCTACACCATTTAATCAGATAATCAAACGTGTTGGTTTCCGGATCTCGACTGTGAGCGACGATCCGCTCCACCTGCATCTTGTCGGATAATATTTGTTCATTGCGTTCCTCCTCATAAGCCATTGTTTCTAAATCTTCACGTTCTGCAAAGCGCATATTCTCCTCTTTTTGTTTTAACGAGGCCTGGTAAGCTGCTAGCTTTTTAAATCCGTAAACGGGGCAACCACGGTCTGGACTCTTCAAAGAAGCCTCAGTTTCCCAGGTAGAATGGATATGGCTCCAGTTACGCCACTTGATGAGGAACTGAAGTTCACCAGGTTCTGAAGATGGGTCAAAATCTGCGTTCAAATCCTTCTCGAGCTTCGTATTGTACAAGGTAGTGGGATTTCCAAGTGCACCCTTACGGCGAACAGCATGAGTAAGGACTTCTTCGATGACATCAGCCTCCTCAGCCTCACCCCAGTCGGCATCTTGATATGGAGTGTCCGCCAACTCCTCATCTGACAACTGAGGGGATCCACCCGACTGTTTGCCATCGAAATCAGTCCTGGAAATTGAAAAAAATATAAAAAGTTGGGACTAAGTGCAAAGAAAGGTAAACAAGGGTCATCAGCTGCACAGCACTATAGGTGATCAATGAAACGAAAGGTGAATCAAGCGGTAAAGAATGGTGTGAGCCAGATACCGATGACAAAATACTGAAGGGATGAGCTGGATGATGTAGGCAATGACCAGAAGCACGCATATAACCAGCATGATGAAGCATGCAGACAACATTGGCCTCGACGCTAGGAGCAAACCAAAAATGCTAACCTGGCTGCCAGCCTAGATGAACATAGTTTCCTGACCAGAGGACCTTTGGGTTTCTGGAAGGTTGTCTGCTGACTGAAAAGAAAATCAGTCAGAGGGTAATAGAAGGAACATAAAGCCAGAGAATAAAACGCCCTGACAAGTTGAAAAACTATAATGAAAACAAACGGGTTATTACCTGTTTTGTGTGCTGGTTTGCAAAGTTCGATTGTTTGCAGCTGGACGGCGGTCATAACCCTCCGCTTCTGATTCGTCAGAGCTGTCATCCAGAAATGCGTTTTTGTAGTTCACCCGATTCCCGCGGGTTCGAACTGAGCGATTTGGCCGCTGAAAAAGATAGACGGATGGAAAAAGTCGAGATAGCAGTGGTAAGTCGAGGGTGATACCACACTATTTATCAGGTAGGTTAAGCTAAGTGATCAACAGCGTCGGACAAAACAATGCTTCTTTGAGTTCAAAGAAGCTCGTCACTGGGAGAACTTCGCCTGCCGACAAGCCTCTACATGTGAGTGACAATGCTTGTAAGAAGGGAACGATCAGTAGTCAACATTACGGCCGTGAGAAAAAATGAAGTCAGTCAACAGCTGTTACGTTTTGTAAGCTTTTTGCAAATAACGTTGGAGATATCCTACAATATTTCCAGTTTCCAGCAGCCTGTGACTGTTAGTTGAAAAGCGAAGCATCGTTAAGGCTTTTTTGAAACCATGCGGCTGCTTATTCTTGGAGGGTTGATGGAGTGGTTCTTCTCCATTAGACCTAATTAGCTCACAAGACCGACCTCGAGCAAAAACCAGAAAGTAGCAAATACCCCCGTCCTGCAAACACACCAGAATATAATTTAAACAGAATTAAGAAGCTCACTAAACTGCTCACTGGTACCTTTGCCTTTCCGTTCCATTGACTGTCAGAACTATCGTCAGTAGTTTGACCTTCGCCATCAGAATCGCCATCCGAGTCACGTTTCTTGCGTCTGATACGAGCTGCCGCAGCATCCGATGGCTTAAAGCGAAATGGTTCTTTTCTGCACCGACCAGATCTTCGAATTCCGTAAAGCTCCGGATAGTCCTCGAACTCGTCCCGTAGCTGTAATAAAGATACATAACAAACGATAGAGCTGGAATGTTGCGCGCAACGTATGAATCGATTAAAATTATCACTACACAAATTGGTACACACTACCTATCAAGTAGCGCACAGTACCAAAGTAATGTAAAAATTCATGATTAGCCAGACAGGTAAACAAGACACCAGCAATACTTAATTACTGATGCATTGTAGTTGTGAAGCTTTGTCATCCTGTCGGTGCACAGAGAACTAGAAACAGGTCTGGAAGGTCAGTCACATCGATTAGCAATGAACGGAATCTTAATGCAATCCCTCTGAATAGGGCCACATATCGTTCGTTTTTCCTTCAAGATAACAACCTTAAACCAAAACTCACTCAGTCATATGTGGGCGTTCCCCCATCAATGCAGTTTCGAATACAACTAATTCAGTTTTGGACCCCCAAATGGATTGATTTCGGCTTCAATCGAATTTCCGATTCGCGCTCTTGGCAGGCGAATTTCCAACCAGCTCACAGATAACTTTCGATGGTTTTTCTAGGTACTTTATTTGTTTCAGATGTTAGATGATCCAAACACTTCAACGACTCTCTTAAAACGGTGTTCCACTTCTCTGACGATATCTCCAGTCGCAAGGCAAACCGCTAGCGAAATCACTATCGTTAGAGTACGGATTGATCCGTTGTGAATGTCTGTGTCGTAGTTACTGGATGGAAATTGGTACAATCTACATTATCCAATGAACAGAAGGAAAGTGAGGACTACCTACGTCTAGAGTACTTTGTTTCCACCTGCCAACAAAATTAATTTCTGGCTGAGTTTAACACTGGTGAAAAATACATGCCCGTTAGGAGCTGTTTTTGTTGTTTTTAGATTGATGTTTTTTGTGAAGTGCTTCAGCAAACCCATAAAACAGTGGTATCCACTAAACTTTGCGCTTCTCCGAGTTATTTATAGGTAGAGTGTAAGGATCCAGGTAGACAGAAACTGTAGTTTGGAAATCGCTGTACCAGCGTTCAGTTTCATGGCATTCTACAACTCCACTGCTGAAGTTCGGAATGACTCAAGACGATCAGGGTATCGAACCAAAATATACATTACTTTGTAAGGTTGTAGAAAGCTCTTCGACAGCCCGCGACCGGTTTCACTCTTCTTAGGGCTCATCAGGTAGGTGCAGTTCCGGGGTTTCCCGTCAATCTTATGTTCTATTCAAACCCGAATTGTACTAAGTTTGAGTAATACACTCAGCTGCATACCAATTTGGTTTTGACATCATGAAGGGAGGATTTAGCTGAGTTTTAGGTGAGTCTCCCGTCGAAACCAAATTGGTATGCAGATGAGTGCATAGTGAAACATTACTTCGTTTGCACAAACGAACGCGACGCAGTGAAGAATACATCTGAATTTCCAACCATAAAAGGTGCACAACTTCAGCTTATTTGGTATATTTCACCAGTATCCCACCTCGACTAATCATCAATGATAGATTCATGTCTGGTTTTCAACTTTTGTAGCTGGGACATTTAAAATGGATGTCCTAACGACGAAGTTTAAAGCATAACTTGTCATGTACGACCGTTACCATCAGTTCACCCACTGACCATCTTGCAGCACAGTTTACATCCATATGAACAAATTCGCTATTCGCCTCGCCATTGTGGTTGGTTCTGTTTCATTCAGTGAGCAAAATTACACGAGATTTGAATGTCACCATTGTTGAGGTCTTAGATACATTATTACTTATTGCCCTCATCTGTCCAGTGGAACGAATAAGACGTTCAAACTTGTTGCTGAATCGAGTTGTTCCACCGATTACGGTGAAGTATTGTGATACAAAATCAGGAAGAGTTCAACCACTTTTATCACGGCAAAAGAATGTTACCTTTAAAGAGAAAACAAGTCCCGGGGGAAAGTTAGCCGTTCTCGGCTCCGTTGTTTTACGCTGAAGCCCAACAGACTACCAGGAACAACTTGCAGTAAAATTTAACTTGAAAGACAGACCCTCAAAGGTATACAGTGGTGCACCACTGAAGCTAGGTGTTAATGTAAAAGAGGATACCTTGCTGACCTAGCCCAGGGAAACAAAACATTTATGCTACAGGTTAAACAATCCGGATTCCTGTAAACCCAAAATATGAAGTATACAATGGTCGTACATCAAATATGCTTTCGATTATGGCGGAAAGAAAAAGGTGAACACAAGTGGGCTAAATTGGTATGTCTGGTTGAGCCAAACAGCAGTTCTTTACCAATGACTACCCTTGGATGTTCACAGTCGTTAACACTCACCATACTTTGTAACGCGTATATAATGTTTCACTTCGCAATTTCCATCTTGTAAGGAGGATTGCCCTCAAAAGAAAATTTCTGTTTTGACTGTCTTCTAGGGCATCCCCTTTTCCACTGTAGCTTATTATTACTGATCATTCGGTCTGTGGCGCTCTTCGATAGGCTCCTGCACGTCTCTATTCATCACACCATTCATCTTTCTCCGATTATATCAGTTATATCTGACCCAATCCATGACACAGAGCCTCCAGTTATAGAGATTTCGACTGGAAATGAAACAAGTGCCATGGTTAGAGACATTGTCAGACGTGGCCTAGTAGCGCCCTCAATGGCGCCTTCAATGCTGCGCTGAAGTCCGTGTCAATGCAGCCGATGGGTCGATTGGATAATTGCTCCAAATCACATGACAGGCAACTGAAGGAGCCAATAGTATAGGATGCCGTGGTCCAATTTGACTTTGGTGTTGTGTCGGTGCATCTGACTGGTTCAGTCGATTTGCATTCTTAACAGCCTCCGCTCCTCCATCCTTAGTGACAGTTGCCGTCCCGTTCATTCTTCCAAGGAAGATGGCCATGCATCCACACACAGGTGAACCGGTAGCTGATATTGGACTTCGCGTACAATGCCAACGGAACTCTCATCAATAAGATTTTATCGCAACTTGTGAACGAAACTTGGCATGACTGCAGTCAGTTCCTTGTGCCGCAGGTGTCAGGGAATGTTTCGTGGTCACTGACTTTGTACCTTAAGTACGGTAGATTAGTAAGAATGCCTAGTTTTGGGATCTTAATGACAGTTAGACTCGAGTGTCTGTTATCGGGAAGTGTAATTGGTGCATATTTGTCGGGAAAGCTGGTGCAATTTTTTTGGTCAGACCACGTTGACATCGCATCGGTACGAGGGTTATGAATTGAATATAATAGCCCGTCAAGGAATATTTGTGAAATACCAACCATTGAGTGGTTCCAGCAGCCTTGTAGTGCACCAGAACATCGAAAAAAAGGAAGAGCTCCGTTTTGGCTCTGCGAGCTGAGCTCATTTTTGACATTGGGGTTTAGCGGTGCGAAAATGCCACACGTTTCCTCTCGTAATTTCGAGATAGAATACCGACAATGGATGGGCTACAGTACCAATCGTCTACAAAAATATCAACTGATATATGACCCAAAACTTTCCATTGCTTGGTAGTAAACACCGTGTCGACCCAACGACTGCATCTGACACTGAGTTAAGCACAACAAACAATAGATTTGTTCAAGTCATCGTTATTCTCAAATGCAACCCAGATTAGTGTAAGCGAAAACAGCATTTCATTCGGTTGACACAACCTCCGCAAGCTTCAGACGCGGTAATTTTTCTGCTTATCTATTTATTACTGAGATCTTTAGCATGCGTCTGATGAGACAACGAACTAGACCCGGAATGTCGTGCAAACTTTCGTTGCTGTATTCCGTCTTCAAGCGTTTATTAGAAAAGAGTTGTTCTTCATGAATGATTTTGCCGCAGGTCCCACTTGAGTCTTTTAAGCTAATTTTGTTCAAGTACTGTTCAACTCTGTTTTGGCCCCAATCCTGGATATAGATGCTCAAAGCAACCCCTCCTTAAGGGCTAAGTTTTAACTCTTCCGTGCTAGTCACTCGTTAAAATCACTATTCACGTGTTTGTAAAACCCAAGACGTATAGACGTTGGCCTCTGAAGCTAACTATTCAGCAATCGTACGAAAGTTAGTGGGTGATACATTCAAAGGTCGGTGATTCCCAACGGAGAATTAATGAGTCAGACAGTTACCACCAAAGAAACAGTAGTATTCACAAAATCAAGTAGTGGCAGATGAAATCCGAACAAAGAATAGGATAGCCTGGAGATAGGGTGTTTTCAGGAATGCAGTCAAATGTTTAACGACCGTAATTCGGAGGGAAGTGCTATACTTCCGGAGAAGTAAAATGAGCACATAAACGAATTCCCATCACCTCTGGGCGGAACCATCAACTCACTTCGCGTATGTTCTGCTTCCTAGATCGAGGCTGTTGTCCTTGTCTGGAATACACTGGCTCTTCCCTCCCAACGGAGGCTTCAGATAGCTCTGAGCCCGAAGAGGTAGAACCATCGCTCCTGTGCAAATGAGGGACAAACGTAAGGATTAACGAATTACGAGCTACCATGTGAGCTTAAAGTTCACTCTCCTCTAAATGTCATGAAGTACTTTGCATATGTGGACAACGGTATGGTAAACGATCTAGTGGGAAGCAAGTACGCCATGATCAAGTACTGTTGGATCAAATACGAAGTTACTTTTCGAAAGTTTAAGGGACCTGCGTCCCTCTAGCCCTTGGCCTCAAAATGGCCTTGGAGCGCCACCTTTAGTACTCTCCGGAAGGTTACAACCTGACAAGATGGAAATAAGTCTCACCATCTGAAATGTTTTTGGTTAAAATCTGAACAGAATGGAAAAAATTAGCTCTTTCTGACGCCTAACCTGGTGACTATTTTCCCGAAGCCTGCTTACCAAAAGTGCAACCAACATTTTCTGGGCAAGGTAGGCCAAACACTTGTTTTTCGTCCTTACATGGGTCAGCTTGCCCGTATGCAATTATGGCGCCAAAAGTGGATGAAAAGCCGACCGGAACAGCTGCTGGTTGGACCCAGTTTCCAATCCTTTCCGACCCTATCCAGTTCTACTCAGGGTCGTGGTCCTTGACAAAGTGGCATGCAGGATGTCTGACTAAAACCTGTCAACATGGTTGTCGGTTTGTTCGCTGAGCCGGGGACTTTGATTGATTGGATCGAGGTTACGTATTGCCCCGGCTAGCGACACGTATGGTAACGCACATGCAACAGTCCTCAGCGCACAAGTACCGATCCTTCGCTACGCCCCTAATATCGCACTGATGATGTCACCTCGATTGGTGGTAAAACACTTCAATTTGTCCAGCTCAGAGCACAAACTAACGACCACCTACAATACCTACATTATCCTTCTGCCAACATAGTTTAATTCATATACATCGCTTGTACATTACGAAAAGGGAATTGACGCTGACCGTGTCCTCTGACCTTTTGCTGTCACACTTCACGCAGATTACGCAAAAATTTCAAGTGTTCAAAAAGGGGTGCACGAATAAAATCTACAATTTTTTTCGGTGTTTCTTGTTTGGCCTTAACAGGTGCTACCACCGCTGACGCACACATCACAACTCACTGACGATATAACCTCGATCGGCGGTGACATGTTTGCAAACTAGCTATCCGATATTCGGTCCCGCGAACGTACATAAATTTTTTGTTCGAAAACCCCGAGCTTCGGTGCCAATTCGCTCCGGAATAACTTCATCATCATCGACAACATGACACCAGTGTTCAACACTGATGCTTCACTACCGTACAAATGAAAGTTCTCCTGGCACGTACCAGGACAGTTGTAGGCGATCCAAAATAGTTCGGGTCACACCGGGCTTGAAGGATGCTGATAGATTTCTGCACTGGCCTAAGCATTGCAAGATTTTTTCACCAGTTCATCGGTGATAGCGCCTAATGGATTGAAAGAAAAGTCTGATTCTCTCTGACAGCAGTATTACCCAGTGTATCAGATATTTGGCCGATTTCTCATCGCAGGGATGACGCATCAATCCAGCGACTAAGTTCTATGTAGTGGAGCAAAATTTACCCCCTGTGGAATAAAAATTCTGTTGAAAACATGAATCACGGACTTCCAAATCACTGCGGCTTCGAGAGATTCCTTAGATTACATGGGAAGTAATTGCAAGCAATAAGTATGGGCTTCCATTACACTCGGAACACTAAATCCTCACCGAATAACAGAAAACAAAATGATGCATAATTATCAAGAATGACAACCCTCTACCAATTCATTTTACGAGGGAATCTGGATCACGAGAGACGACCCAAATAAGTGATGAATGCGCGAACTGCTGACCGGAAGACCCGTGGACCGAACCCAACCTATGCATCTCAACTTCTCCTGTCTAGGCGTTGTCGACCTGGCAGTATCTCTGCCCTGCGGCCTACCATCGGTCTGGTAGCTAGGTACCAAAGGCGTGTTACAGCTGAACGATTGTTTATACTTCCCATCTACGGGAGACGTACAGTGTTCAGGATCCGTTGGAGCGGAGCATACTTGGAATGATTGGGTAGGGAAACCTAACTTGATGACTTTCAGTAGAAACTCCGAGGAGGCTTTCAGACTGAAATTGTGGCTGTCCTACCGGTTTTCAGTAAGCTCACTTGGGCTGTTGATATATCCACGATACTTCGCCAGGAACAGAACAGGGAGTCGCCGAATTTGCTAGGTTAGACTAGACCACCAAGAATTTCCAGAATAATGCAGCTGTTAAGGTGGTTCTTTGTTGAGTCCACCCAACAGATGTGACAGCCAACTTTGGGGCTGATGATTGTTTCGATTGTTTCCCCTATGCAGTTATTAGTTGTGACCAAGGATCTGTCTTACGAGCGACTAGCCATCCACACCAAAAAGTAATGTTATTATTGGGCACACATACTTTAAAGACTTAAACACGCAAGAAACTATGCAGAGTTCATAGTTGATTGGCATTCTTGGGCGGTAAACCATGCCATAATTTGTACACCATATTCAGCAAATTATTATCTAAGGGATTATCAAAAAAGGAATGTCACCGTTTTCGAGAAAAACACTCATTTGCAAATCAATTTGGTTTTCATGGGAGACTCAAATGAATCTCTCGTTTATGATGTCCTCCAGCTGAACGTGTTGCACATAGGCCGCCTCATGATTCAATTGGTACGATATTCGAGATATCGCATTATATTTTCATAAAGGAAACCACTCACAAGGTTGCTGAAAACTCTTCGACATTACAGTCGTTTCGTCCTTGTTGGAAATCAGCAACTTTATTTGCGAAACCAGTCTGGAGCAGGTCCTAATTTCTCGACTCGTGACTTCTATTTTGAACCACTCGTAATCTGAATTGGAACCGAAGATTCGACGTTCATCTCTAGCCATCAAAGGTTCTGCTAGAAACGGTCCGAATTGGGTTTGTGTTCATCTTTAATCGTAGGAACTGCTCATCTGTTTAATCCGGCCACACTTTTGCTAACAATCTATCGGCTTCATGCTATTACAGACCAGCGGACTTCATACAGATGAAGGTTCCTATCTAAAATACATGTTTCTACAGACTGCGACTAGCTCAGCTGACGCGGAATTCGATTGCCCTTATGCAAGTTGACATTTTAATTAAAAATTCATAACCCTGGAACGAACATCGAAATGCTGTCACCAGAAGAGCTCATGAGCCGAACTACATACTTTTGTGACAAGTGGTCTTTCTAGTCAGACCCTAATTCTGTTCGGCCAACCCGTTCGTGAGGTCCTATTTGAAACACGATATATAAATCTCTTAGAGACCTACAAATATAACAAATTGCCGAAAGTTAACGAATTTAGTTCGCCGATAGGCACACATGGACCTGATGAATACAAGCGGTGCGGTATCTGTAGTTGTGAAGACCACGGAGGTGTCATTTATGGTGACGATCACAAGTCTTACCATTAATAAAGCAAATATAAACAATCATGACAAACGTAATTTATTCGCCGCACAATGTCTTCGGGAATAAAAAGCAACGCGTTGCGGTCAGATTTAGTCTCGGCGATACTCTCCAAATTAGATACGATGGCTTTTATATCACACCCGTTGTTGAGGTGAAAAGTAGGGCAGATAAAACGAGCAACAGATCAGTTGTCAAGGCTTGATAATTAACAAGACACTTCGAAAACAGTAATTAAAAAACAGTCCCACCAAGGAGAATGAGGAGCAATTATGTTACTGGGGTAAGGGTTGAAGAATCAACCACAGGGCGGGAAGGTTAGGTATATTGCGGTGTATGAGCGTGGCGGTTCTGGGTACGATTGAACCGAACGACTGGTGCTTCAGTTGTGGCCAAAATGCGACACTTCACTGCCTTCGAATGTGTTCCATGCATTTAGTTGACAAAATCAGAATGCGGTGGAGGCTGACCGAACGAGGTGACCGCAACACTTTAGAGACCTGGCAACTGCGCTATTCAACCATACAAGACAATGCTCGAATGGGTGCCTGGTCTTGCGGCCGATATAACTTGATCCGCCGGGACAATCCAAACAGTAAACTTGGAATCACCTTTATGCCGGAAGCGAAGAACCGTTCAGTAGTAAGTAGAACGTGTTAATATTGTCTTCTAATACTCTTGACATTACCTGTTCGAACGTGTTCCCTGTAAGTGGCGGTTTCATGTACAAGGGTTTATTTGGAATTGAATGTCTCGCAACTAACAAGTCATAAAAACTTTGAAAAAACACCGTTACTCCAGCAAATGCAACCTCGATAAATAGTCATTAGGCGTGGACTTTTACACACGTCACTAGATTAATTTCTCGTTTCACAGGGAGAAAAAACTATTGAAATATGCATATTGGCTGTTTTAAGTCTTCTTCCGGAAGACTAAGTTAAACTATCCCGTCTGACTCACTGGGGTTCCTGTGACCTCTCCTGCGCTTGGTTGGAGATATTGTGGGGAATAGCACGTGATCGATATCAGTGGCATTCCTGCTGTCAGTCCTTCTCCAGATTGTCTGATTTAGCGCTTGGAAGTGTAAGCACTTCAGAATGCTTGTGGCAAGAATTTACTCATACTTTCCCCTTCGATCTCAACGCACTTCTATGCACAACGCATTCGGCTGGTGATTCGAAGTTTGCAGCCAAATTGCCCAGCTCATCAAAGAAACCACCAACCATAACTACGACCAACAGACACCAAACAGTTCAAATCTACCGAAACAAAAGCCTTTAGACAGAATTCAGGATAACGCCCCTGGCAAACGAGGTAGGAGGGCCGCTGCTTGTTCGAAATCTACCGCTAGTAGCAAGATCGACAGCAAGTCAGCCTTCGGGGTTGACATGTGATTAACACCAAGACTGCAGACATTAATCTGATACCTGCTTCAAGCGACCAAAAGGAATTCGGTGGACAGCAGGCTGATTGCTCGTGAACATGATTTGAATGGTCTTTTACTTTTTCAATACTTCTGAAGCATTCCCAAAAAATGATTGCACCGACACGGATAGCATGGAATA